CCACGATGATTATCGAAGAACGGCCCGATGGCTGACGCGTGAGTCGCCTGCGATATTCGACTCCATCCGACCACTGTGTAATTCCGTTTGACCATCCCAAATTATGAGGGGAGTTCGATAAATTCGTGAAATTTTGTTCAGTGCTCCAACGAGGAGTTTCACTTTTGGGAAATGGGTAGGTTGACTCATCGTTACGAGAGATTAGAAAATAAAATATAAGAGGTGTCTTAATCCTACAAATATAGTCAGTCCCATATATATATATATTTGCACCCTCTATGTTTATTGAAGAAATTTGTTTAGATTAAATAGTAGATTTGATGTTTCCAAGTGTATTCTCGTAACGAGTCCATTTACAAGCTTGCCGTTGTATCGATGCCTAGAATTTATTGTACTCCACTCGTCCAATTCGTACACGTTTAGGGTAGGTCGATTTTTCACTGATGGTGCACGTTTTGTCGTTACCAGTTAAGAACCGCGTGCTGGCTTATCTAGCGTTATAAAACGATAACAGGATAATTCGTGGGACTCGTTTGGCCGCTGAATACCAATGTCACCGCGGCTCGGAACAGTGAAATTTTAGGACCCACCGAAGAGGTTGTTTCCGACTTTAATCGGGAGGGATGTTTGAGAATTTCACTGTCGCGCGCCGATTAGTTGGCCGCAATTTGGATTGATAAACTGGCGCTGATATACATTCCCCTCTGTGACTATTAAGATACTCAAGTGAAATTGACCTAAAGGAACATTAGATCATGCTTCATATAACACACACTTTAACTCGTTGGTCGCCACGTCACCCAGAAATGGGTGACAGGACTTTTCATTATGGAATTAAAAAAATTAATTTCAAAAGTCAGACAATAATGAAAATAAATTTTGATAGGATTTGTGAATTTGGCGAGTTTAACAAATTAAATACTACGACAAATGTCAAACTATCTGATCTTCAATAGCCTAGAAAGAACATTTTAACTGTATAGAAATTTTCACGAGTTGCAGCCTGGCAGCCAGCGCGTCACACATACGTGCATGATTAATTTAAAAAAGAACAACGCGTATTAATGATAACATCTGAAAAGGGTAATCAACCTCTCCCCCAAAACGAGTAGAAAGAATCTGTTAATAAAAGATTGATGGACAGAGAGGATCGACGCGACAAATCTCATCATTGTAATTAGTTTAGGACTACTTGATAAGGGCTCCCCCGGCCCAATGAAACATTGACGAGACTGCATCTGGCCAATGCTCCAATCAAGTGTGATTGTTCGAAATTGTGAGTAGCCGAGGACCCCGCACGTTTGGCACATAACGCGGATCGATATCCATGTTTCGAGGTCGACCACGACCAGTGGATAGGAATACCATTGCTGGTATTGTACGGGACGGCAGGCCACCCTCTCGCCGTGTCCCTTCTTTTCGAGGGTGCAGCCTGTGCGGGCGCACGACAGACACAGATTATCGGTACACACAATGCGGAATTGATCCCTGAGGCATGCCTCTACGTAAAACTTTCGGAGATGAAAATGCTCCGGATTGATTGTTCGCTCGTGCTTCACGTGGGAACATTCGGGCTGCGCCACGTGAATAAACCGAACACGTTTCGTCGGAACATGTATTAAACGCGACCAAAGGGTGGGTTCAGCTATTTTGCAGCGAGATGCTGGTTCCTAAGTATATCTTGGGAGACCAACTTGTTTTCTTTCGAAGGAACATCGGAATGGGGGACCGATAGGCGTGGGCGAAGGGCTTGTACCGTTCAAAATAATTGGAAGATTGCGTGCTCGAACAAACGTTCCAAATGTTGTACATTCTGTACGAAATGAAACAGCAGAGCATGCAAATCATTTTTACAAAGCTAGTAACTTTGGGAACATGGTTACACGTAGAATGTATTCGCACTGATTTCGTTCCATTTCTGATTTTGGCCAAGTGAAACTAAATTCACTAGTGAAAATTATTTCGAAAAATCTTTTCCGTAGTTGACACCTGGCTGAAATTTTTTAAATTGAATTATGCGAAGAAAAACAGGACGTTATTGATCCCATAACCGAAATAAACAATTTAAAATTTGATACACGCTTCTGCGTTTATTGTTTCATTTTGTTGAATCCGAACAAATATTAATTACTCCACCAAAATAGATAGACACTTGACGAACCACCTGCATTTGAATCTCTCTTTCAAAATTAATTTCATCTACCACACTATGGAAACCTCTTGCGTGGGAACTCTGTACCGGCAAAACTCTAGACTGCCCAGTTTTAGTGCGGGATAAACTATTCTCATTAGCCTCGCGTTTGTAATATTTGATTCATCCTCCAGGCAGCAAATCCTTTAATTATTTTGAGCGGTGTATGAAGCATAGCATCAGCGGGGCAGTACAAACGCCACTGAAACGATTGAAACGTTGCGCACTTTACAGCACTCGAAGTTGGCATTACACGCAACCGGAATTTCGTACGAGTGCGCGCAGATTTCATACGCGATTTCATCGTGAAATCTGCGCGCACAGGGCGTGCGCTAATTTCCCAGCCGCGTCGTACAAAACCAAGCGTACACTATTTTGTGCTTGGCGCCACGCCAGGAACCAAATAAATACACGTATCACCCAGGATAACGTCATTCCGCTTCTGGAGAGGCGAATCGTAAATGAATCCAGTCTACCGCTCTTGAAATCGAACGATTTGTGGCTGTCGAATAGTTTGATTTACGAAACGTGTTGCTGTAACGGTCCATAACATCCTGTTTCATGTCGTTTTGTTTTGGTTTTCGCACGAGTAACCTGTGTCAGCTTGTGTGTACAAAGTAGCTTGAGAGAATCAATGTTCATGTTCGTGGAAGATTTTCGTGGGATATATTAGTCATTGGACTTTTTATAGATATAAATTGCATCATATAGAAGTGAATCACCACTGATTGCTAGCAAAAATGTGGAACTAATTTTGTAAATCAATTCCCCGTGTTAACACGAATCGAAAAGTTCTTTTCCGTTTTGGAATCCGACGCTTGGTTCCCGAGATAGGAGCAGCTGAAGTTTGTGCGCGCGAACGCATAGTTTCGCGACCCATGCGCTCACGATTGCGTAGTCTCGTGCTTCATGCGCTCGCGCGCGCATAGTCTCGTGCCGCTTGAGCGCGCGAACGCATCCATGACTGGGACACCAAGAGTCGAAGTCGCGGTGGTAAACTTTAAACGCTCGTATCTCGATAAAGAAGCATCGAATTGCAAAGCGGTAAAGGACTTTTCGGCTTCATTTCAAACAAGGAATCGATCCCACCTAATTTCATTTTGAAATAACAACTTTTTCATTCGCTGATTTATATTTTTATTTATTTATTTCGGGTGCTAGTGTTTAATTATATTATAATAAAACTCATGTATGGGTGACAGGGATTTTCATTGAACTAAAAGTATTAATAGGTACTGAAAGTTGAGTATCAAAGAAAATAAATTTGAATGAAATACTTGAATTTCGTTGAAATTACAAAAATAAATAGTACAATAAATGTTTGATTATGCAGTTTCCGATAGTCCGTGAATAAAATTTAATCACGGTAGAAATTTTTAAGAGCATCAGTCTAGCAGTCAACGTGTTAAGGACTATGAATGTTACCATCTATTTACTTTCTTAAAATGAATAACTTATTTTCGTCCCGATCTTAAGATACAAGAGTTCTTTATATCTCAGCCATTAGCACGATTGATCTTTTCGCGTGTCGTGTTTGAGCACTGCCAGCAATCGGATCGCGATTAATTAATTTCACCTCGATAACGGGGGATCGTATGATGTCGATCATGGAGGAGGTGTTGACTTTCAAGGCTGGCGAGGAAAGGATAGATTCAGCCTGGGCGCCTATCTAATTTCAAACCTAGCCGATATAATTCGATCGCGATAAATTCCACGCGAACGACCACCGGGGAAATATTACTCCGGGCAAGCGTGCCGACGCGGCCCTTCGAATGCGATTTATTCGATTCCGTGTTATTCGCCACTCTATTACGGCGCCCTCGCTAATCAACTTACGCCGATTCCGTTTTAGTCGCGCGGCCAGAAACGAAGGTGAAAGGGATAGGGGCTTGGGGGGCTTAGTCTGAAAGCAGGAGTCATCGATAACGGGACACGGGTTAACGCGATGTACATGGGAACGCTTTTCCCCCTTTTCGCCGTGCGGGTCGAAACACTGGAATATGCGACTCGTCGACGACGGTGAGGGATATTGCGAAAGTAAAAGGGTTAAATTAAAAATTCTCGGTCGAGTGCTCCGTCCTTCGAGTCGAGAATATTCCTGGCGGAATTTCAACGCGAAAGAGGAAAGCTCGGGGGCGACCCCATACCCGAAGGCTTCGAGTCTTATAGCAAGCCGGGCATAAAAGGCGGGGCTTTGTGCCTCCGTAAGCCGTCCTTATCGATATTTTTCGATAACAAAAGTGAAGTATTCGCTGCCTCGACTCGACTCGACCACGATTCAGCTTCCACCCGAGGCATGACCAACGAACTGCCCGTGTGGGCACTTTTCACCAACTGTGGCCAAAGATGTCGTGGACGGGGTAGTTCATGAATCTAGGGTGGGAATGTTACCGATATTATCGTTTGACACTGATGTTAACTACACTGTGCTATCGACAGTGGTAGACGTTCTCTACGATTGCTAGTAGAGGCTAGACCAGAGGACTGCTTCCTAGACAAAAATATTTTACGTAGAACTGAATTGAATAATGTACGAAAAAATTGTATATAATTCATTTATAGTACAATCTATAAGAGTTGCATACAAAAATTTCAAAACTGTCATTTGATCGGCCGTGGTAGGTTTAATGTTAAAAAATCAACAGTCATGCCAAGGAAAATAAATTTCTTGAAAAATTGGTATTTACATTTTAATTTGATCCCCTGCTTATATTTTCTTGCTGTGACGTTGACAGTGATCTTCACCCTTGCCCTCACCTTCAGTCAGTTGTCCACGTTTGATCTAATTTTTCTCTCTGTGTTTTTTCAGAACGACACGATGCAAGTGGTCTGGCAGTATCACGAGAAGGAGCCAGTGTCCGCCGCGGGTGGGTTACCGGAGCAAGGATCTGTTCGAGGATCCAGACCCTTATATCTAGTGCAAAGGGACGCGCAGCCGAAGCAAAGCCCGCGCAACCAAGAAGCCGAGCAGTCGCTTAAAACGTGGGACATATTGAACCAGCAGGTCGGTATCGGAGTCATTTATCCACGTCCCCTCGCGGCTCCCAGACGATCAATTACCGCCACGCTGTGTTTTATTCTTATGCAACGAACCTCAGCGGCTGGGCCGTACCCCGTTCGACGGCCGATGATGCGCGAAGCTGGCGGGGATCGCGTGGGCGGAAAATTATGGTGTAATACGAGCCATTGCGTGGCGAATATATCCCATAATATGATTATACCGCGTGGAAGAAGGATACGACGCGACGCAGCGCCGTCTTACGTATGCATAATGATAGAGCCCGGCGTTGGTGGTAATAATATAATGGATAGGTATGCTTACGGGATTTTGGGTGTTAGGAAAATTAACGGTTCGCGGAGAGGAGGATTGGCGAGAAACGAGCTGGATATCTTCGTGTACACAACGCCACGTGGGGGGAATGTTTACCTGCACGGGCACTTTTCGACGCGGACGCGTTCCTTGGGACTTGGGGCTCGAAGTGGCCGCTACTGGCCTAGGAAAGTTTATGTTTATTGTCACGTCTGGTACTCTCGAGGATCTCTCGAGTTCGTGGTTGTTTGGAAAAGGATGTTCCACTATCCAAGAATCCCCTTCTCCGAATCTCCTATCGGTATGAATAATGGACGCGATATTGTATTAGGCTAAAGGTATAAATAATGAGGAAATTCAGAGGGGTGCTCGAGGAAAGTTTTATGGTATCTTGGCAGTCAACGTGATAAACGAACTTTCTATCCATGACTCGATACCACCCCTGTCGTGGAGTCCACGCGTCAGGGTACACCATGTATCGCGCGACATGAATTCCAACGATCCCATCTCGCAATGACTGGTGCCAAAAAGGACCAAACGGAAGATATCCTATTCGCACAAAGAACGCCTAGTAGAATCAGAGAGCTTCCATTGCTTTTATCCCGAGTCCCGGACGTCCCTAACGCAATCTCGCCACATGGCCGCTAATTTCGTTGGCCCGTTTCTGGTCGAGTTCTATCCGCAATCTGTTCGCGTAAAGGGGGCCATTATTCGTCCCTTCGAAGGAGCCTGGAGTTTTGTTGCTCCGGTCCCGATACTCTAGTCGTTTCAGTCACGCTTCCGTTTCTTGTGAACATAATTAACTGAAGACTTTGCCACGGGAACAGGTTGCCTTTTTTTATTATCCACTTCTGGACGAGAACGTGGCTTAATAATGAAAACGTAATGTTTTTATTTCCTGAATAATATTCGCCTATAGGGATAACTTTGACGCTTTGAGGTGGAGCATGATCGCCGAGGAGAAGCTATTTTTCATTCTCCCACAAGGGGAACGTGATGTACTTATAATAATGTCTGTCGAAATAAGGAGTTTGCAACTATTCTTAAAGTTTTCATAGTGAAATTTCCGCGAAAACTTTCGAGGCCTCTGTTCCTGGTTTCCCGAGTTTCCTCGGATAATTGAACAATAGGTAAAAGCTTGCGATGCGATGGTAGGTTCATGAATGGGCGCTTTATGAACAAACGTATAGAAATATCGTGGCGTAAAAATAAAATTCAAATTAGTACCCCTCTTTGGCGTGTCTCCCAGAATAACATTTCAGTCTTTCTATGTAGCTGGGTCTTTATATAGCAAGTCATAATTATAATAACTTGTTTATAATGATGACTCAAATCTCCATTGGCGTCTCATAGACTACAACATATTTTAATTTTAACAAAATTTTAATTCTGATAAAGCCTAGGTTCCACAGTGATTAAGTCAAGTGACCCCCAGATGTCATCCTAGAGTCAATGTGGCAAGGTCTTTGAATTATTCTACAATTAAACATTTTGTCCAGTGTTGGGAAATTTTGCCCCGATGTGCAAAGTCAGGCATGGAACTCTGTTCGCACGCGAGATGAATGTTCGAACGCGTTTAACGTTCAGGCCGGGCGCTAGTGGATTTTTATCGGATGCAAGCCGCGGTAGCATTGTGCGCCGAATTTATGACGGCATAAATCTTAACCGGGTCACATCCGGCAAAAACTATTCGTTCATTAGCGTCGCCGGGTCATAGATTATGGGTCGACGCTATCGCTGGGATCGGACAATGCTAATTCCGCGGACTGCCGGGCTTGCTTATAGTTTATATCGGCCGTGCAGTGGGACAGAGGAGGGGAAGGGGTGATTTGCAGCGGATTTACGCGATTCGTACCGTAGAAAAGGATCGATCATTTCGCGAACAGCAAAAAAGAGAGACGGGAGTGGGAATACTCGACTTCTGGTTGGCAATATTTTCCACTGGGCGCTGTAAGAAAAAGCTTCGACGAGTCGTTCGTGAATGAAAGTCGTGAAATCGCGGAGCATTTCGTAAATACTGAAATAAGGAGCCTGCGCGCGTATAAATGCGCTCACGTCGATGGGAAAAATCGGAACTATACGGATGACTTCCGTTCGAGAGTCTTCCGCGTTTCAGTACGCGATCCCGTAAAAACCGTGCATTTCAAAGGAATGCTTTATTCGCGGCTCGTGAAATTCTCCGCAGTCGACGTACGTCATGGAATATGCGTATAAATATATATATATATATACATAATACATATGAGTGTATTTCATTCCTCCGATAAATTGGTGCTTCCGATATTTTTGAATAATTCAATCAAGCGACGCGTGTCGCGTAATGGAAGCGACGACGAGCGGAAAGGGGGCATTATCAGGAAACCAGGGGGGCGAAATAATAAATTGGAATTGCGGGGTGGGCGCGGTAGCGTTGAAACCGAACGACGTTAATTTCATCAGCTCTGTTTACAATTTATATCGAATGGAATCGGGCGGGGGGCGTTTCGGTGCTCATCACGCTGTAACAAATTACCGCTTCTACGAACTGGAAAAAAATTATCCGTTCACCCGGCAAATGAAACGATTCCGCGTCTGTTTCCCCCTTTGCCACGATGCCCCACCTTCGTGAAATTTTTCGTAGTTGACCGAGTAATAAGTTCATTCGGATTTCGAGGACGTGTACATTTTTAGAAACGTCCTCTGTGAGCCAATCCCTGTGCAGAGTTCAAGGCTTCGGCACGAGAAGAGAGCTTCGCAACGTCGATCAGCTCTGTCCTTTGGTATTGAAGTAGACATTTTTTTAGTGTGTTAGAGTTTATTAATTAAAAGTTTTGATTTTATTACTGAAATGACAGTAACATATATTGTACATATATTCTCAATCCATTTATTTTTGCAGTAAAATAAAAGGTTTAATTACAGTAAATATTCCAACAGAAATGTTACAAGAATGAAACGTATACAAACCTCTAGCTTACCGAAATTGTCATTGAATAAACGAAGAGAGCCTTGCAACATTTCCCACTGTACCCACCGCATAAATTTCATTCTTCCACAACGCAGTAACGACTCGTAATAACATTCATGTTCTGTAGTCCTGTTCTAGTCCTGTTCATGTTCTGTAGTCCTGTTCTAGGTCATAATTAGTAGAATACTACTCATCTATTACTCACAATTATGCTCGTACAAACTACCCGCGCATTTAGCTTTTTATCCTTTTTTTGGTTTATTTTCCCAAGCTTTTTCTCGCAACTCGTCGAGACGCCGGTCCCTCGGTAACGCGTCCGAATCTTCTTAAGTCTGTCCACGGTCGATTACGGGACACGCGTTCAAGGCGTCGCGGAAAGTTTCACGATGCTCGCGTCAAGCGTCGTGGTTTTAATTGTCGCGAGCGACGCGAAGCAGCGGGCGTCCCTGTCTGAGGGGCGGACAGATGTCGACGACGGTAAAGTTGCCGCCGCGACGCTTATCTTAGCGGTGACTTTCCAGCTCTTACTTCTTTCTTGGCCGAATGCTACTTGTTCTTCGTTAACTACATACGCGAGGAAGTTCCGCGGCGGTCGAATAACTTTTGTATCGCGCCGCGATGAATATGAATGTCTGCGGCCACAAAGAGACGCCAGCTTGTTAGAACGGGTTTGCATTCACTCGGTTCCCTTTTCCAGCCGATGATACTTTTTTCCTCGCAGGCCATTCTCGCGACGAATCGAAAGCGAAACTTCGCCGACGAGAGTCGAATTCGCCTGCGGCGTATCCCAGGATTTTGTATTTGCGGTCCGCCCTTATGGCTTTCGGATATTCCCATTTCTCAGGCATGTGAGCCATCTTTGTTGACTGTATTTCGAGTTACAGAAGGATGAATCTTGGCTTTTAGTATATTGCATAAATTGTATAGACTAAGAATTCTGTATTTTTATCCCTATTTTTATTTCTATTTCCATATAGATTTTAGTATATTATATAAAACTTTCTTGTCTCGATGCACATTAAATATTTCCAGTCCTCGTTGCGGACATCCTGCAGCAGCATGAGTTTTTATTTTAGCTGTCCACTTTATAATTACATTTCCAGTCATTTATTTCATCAAATCAGATCAGCTCGCACAATTTCGCCACAAATACACAGTGTCAAGAAATAATCTTCATTAAATGTAATCGTGGAAAATTGGGAATGGTATTTCTCGGTTAGAATTAATGAAATTATCCTCTTCCACTCGCACTTCTCTCTCTGTCAAACATTCCCCGTCGATGCTAGACCCCTGTCTTATTTTAAAGAATCGATAAAGTTATAACCGTAATGCGTGCTGGCCTACTTCTTTCAGATACGAACATACAACGCATTCGCGCGGCCCCTATAATCTCGAATGCACTCGACGGAACAGAAATACAACACGTACGTCATTCGCGTCACGAGCGAAACTAGATCTCTCTCGGCAGTTCTTTTTTTACCCAGTTCGATACCCGAGTCTTCTTCAACTTCCTTCGAGTAGACTAGAATTCGCGTATGAAAGGGATCGCGACGCGTTATTAGCTATTTATGCGAGCGAAGGAGCGGGTAAAAAGTTGGCGCCGTGCTGGGAAACAGGACAGAGCGAAATATGAAGTGCCTACGCGAGTCTGCCAGTCGAGCAGCATAAAACGCGTTTTTATGTGGCCCCTGGTTCAAAAGAAGCCTGCCATTTGAACGCATTGCACGCGAAACGTGGCATACCCGGAGGATAATTATCGTCTCCTCTCATTCCAAGAAACGAGACGCGGCAGGGAAAAAGCGGCCAAGGGTGAGACGCGCCATGAATCGCTCGCATGACAACGTTTGTTCGCGCTAAATTCACGACGACGAAATCCTCGACGCTCTTTCTTCCTCCGATCGTTTGAATTTTAAATATCCACTTCGTTAGCGCGCGTTATAACGACTAAATTATGTCGATATGCGCTCGAATGCCGCGTGAACGTCTTTGAAATGCGAGATGAATAATTTGTTTTACTTCGGAGTGTAACCAGATCATAAACGCGGAAGTTTTTCTTATTCTTTGATGAATCAAAACTTGTTTCTGTGGGGAGTTTGTTTCACTTGGTAGTGGAAACAGAGGAGAATGAAAATTATTATTATTCCTTTGGCAACGTTTTGGATTTCATATTAGAGCCCTTTAATTTATTCATTCGTATTCATCTTTTTCTTTAGTTTTCTTTTGTTTACATTGTATCAAAGCGATTTTCCCTGTTAGATGAATGAATAAATGAATGAAAATTTACGAAAAATACTGGTCGCGTGAGGGAAGTCGCTTCAATATGGGCTCACGGGCTCAGAAGCCCGTGGAGGAGGAATCGTAAACACGGCTAGCAAGCCGAAATCTCCTCTTCGCCCGTGGGCGTTCAGCATATTCGACCGCAAAACAATAAACGCAGTCGTCCTTCTCGGTAATCTTGACATCGATAATTTCGCAGAAGCGCGTGGGAGAATCCGGCGGCGCAGCGGAGAGCTTAGGGCAGCCGAGGTATATAGCTGCGAAAAAAGAATTGCAATTTTCTCGAGACGCTCCAGTCGCGCATAAACCCCGCGGCTCTGCAACCCGAACCAACCTTCCTTACCCGTCTTTCTTTTCTCTCCTTCTATTACTTTCTTGGCATTCTTTTTGTATTCTCGCGGATATCTTCAACGTCAAAATAAAGATCGTTGTCGAAGGTGTAGATTAAATATTTCAATATCCTCTTTACTGTTTCAAAATTTGCGTGAAATATTAAAAAAAAAACAATCTATGAAAAAAGCAAACGCATTTTTCAACCAACAACGCAGCAATATGTTGTACCAGAGAATTTAGTATTCAGTAGGATTGATCGAGTCTACGAGCAGCCAGGGAAGAATGAGTTAACTCGCGATGATAGAGTAACTCTAAAGCTCCTACCACGTGGTTGAGAAACGGCACAAGAAATAAATGAAAGCAGCATTACGCGATGAGCAACTTGCACGGCTGACTCCGGTGTACTGTAGTTCTTATTCTATTAGACGTGTCGGAAAACTTGGAATACGATCATGCATAATGAAATGAGTTGCGTACGATGCTGTTGTGATGCTTTGCATGCTGCGCATCCGGGACGAAGTGTATAATGTTGCTTTGGGAATTTACTCTTCGACGTTGTCGAGCAACGTCTCAAACGTCCTGTTATCCATCATTTATTTACATTTGCCTCGTTCAACTTCTTATTTGGCACGCGACTACGCTACAAGGCGCTGGGAATTGAAAAGTTGCGAGACCTTAACGTCACCTTGCGTGCTAGTTTCTTAAAAGGATTTTTAAATTGATCCGTCCATCAGTTTAAACTACTTTAAACGATCGGGTAAAGTATTGTTAAAATACAATGGACGTTTTGCAGTGCCTGAAGTTGTAGGGAGTGTTCGTAGGAAGGGTTGTTTTCTAAGAAAAATGTTACAATTAGAATGATTAAATTATTATGCAAAAATTATTATTAAACACGAGGAAGACTTTTAATATTTGGAGATTACACAACATTGAAAGATTGTGAAGATAACCTAAAGAGTCCTAAGGTGAAATAAATGACATCTAGCTGTGGACAGGATTTTTTCAATATTTATAAATGATTGAATTATTCTTTAAGAAGTATTGCTATTAATTTCCACCGAAGAGAGCTAGAATTGCACAGCTGAAAGCTCTAACACCGCGGACTAATAATAATGCACCTAATTGCGTCAATTTCAGTTCGAACGAGCACTGGAGATAGAAATGGAAGTTCGAAACTAGTCTGTGGCCATACAATTTTCAAAAACACCAGTAGTTCCGCCGCGTTTCGTTCTCCGCCCCGAAAATCGTTGCGCGGATTAACTTCGTCACGCGAAATGTCCAAATGCGGGGGAACTCGGCCGAAGACAGTTGCAATTAGAAAAACAGTTTGGAGTCTGGCGTTCCAGTGATGGCAAGCGTGTACTTCGCTAAATACCACGTTACTCCATTAACGGGTATAGACAGATCCACCGTTCCAGCCGTTTTCGTGCATCGTCGGATGAGTTTCCAGCCGTACTGCGGGAGGGGAGGGTTGTACAAAGCGTTAACATTCGAGAAGTTTTGAGAAAGCATTAACGAAATTCCTCGCGCGTGTACGGGCAACAGTATACACCCGCCCTCGTCCGATTCTGATCCGTTTCATCCCTTCGTTTCGATGCGTGGAGGGATTGGTAGTCACCCCTCTTCGTAACCATGAGGGCGGAGTGAGCGTTGCGTATATGGAAAATGTAGAGTTGATATCCAACAGTCAGTTTTTGAATAGTCGCGAGAGTTTAAATTGTTAACTTACCATGCGTAAACGTATAAATAATTCAACTTGTATCAATTAAAGAGGCCCTTTTGATCGCATTTTTCAACTTTTTGTTTCATGGAGTTAATTGATTTGTGCAATGAACGTCTCCGTTGTCGCAAACTATTGGAAACTGTCTCCAATCGTTGCTCATAAGCCGGCATGCCAAGACACGTGGGTCTGTGTAGGTACGAGCAATAATCCCAGCTAACGCGCTAATTTGGAATTCAGCATAAACTCAGAGCACCAACAATGATTAACGTAACTCGCAACGACCTGAACCATGTGCACACGCTCGCACGAACATATTCCCTAGCTTTGAATAATTTGTTTCAACACGCGAAACTCGTGCCAAACGTTCGAACCAATTCTTTTCCGAGCGCATACCAATCGTTCCTCGGAGGAATTACACTCGTTTAACAAATCGTCTCTGAATTACTTTGCAGGTCCAATTGCCCCAGGAAAAAGACTGGCTGGTTTGGCGCCGCATTGTTAGGATACCAAGCATCGATAAGAAACACCACGTCGTGAAGGTAAGTTTCCCCCAGCTGTAACCTACTTATTCGCCACCCTTCGTGCCGCGCTTTACGCATCCGAACCATCCAAACTTGATTAAACCGGGAACGTGGGTACAGATTCCCGTCAGCATGGGAGCAGCAGAGTTGTATGAACCTCGAGTGGAAATACTCACGAGTTCCTTCAAGCTGATTAGAACAATCGTTTCTTGGAGCCCTCTGTTCTTAACATCTGGTAGCTTCGCTACAAGATTTCCAAGGCGGAGGATGCGAAAGGCGCTTCAAAACAGCATCTAAACTATTTCTTCCTGATTTCCCCAGATGCGAGTCTTGGACCATTTTTATTTTTCTCAGTCGACGAACTTGCGAAATCGATTGCATATCGATCGATCGTCTCGTGTTTTGTCAGCAACATCTACTAACACGAAATCTCTCCAAGCTTAATTCAATCTGTTTGATCGAATTATAGATAATCACCCGTATTAATGTTTTCACCGATCAATAACTTAAAAGTATACTACAGTCGACGTTAATCGACACGTAACTTCGTTACCGAACGATGGATGGAAAAATTAGCATACAAAACGATGCTTTCCGTCCACCGTGATTCACGATCGTGGATGATAAAGTCGGAATAACTCTCTGAACGTGGAGACCGACTGCAGATTCGATACAGGTTGGTTTCTATCTACTATCGAACCAACAACATCTCGAACTCGATCGAACGTGACTATGTTACGTGACTCGATTGCTTTGCGCTTTCTTCTGACGGTTACGCGAGGAAAGGCGATTAGCTCGTATATTTCGATAAGTTCTCTATTTGAAATGTATCCTTTATCGGTGACGGTTAATCGAAACAAGCGTTTAAAATTGCTTGTCTACGGTTCCCGCGCCGATACAAACGAACTCAACGAGACCCGTCGATTCGTTAAAGGATCTCTGATACGTCGAGCGATACGCGAGTCCGTGAATGTATGAATTAAGTTCTTACAAGCCGGATGAGATTGCGCGTACGGTTCCTTTCTTGTTTGACGGCTGTTGAATGTAACCCGTGCGTGTGTTTGTTCCTTTTTTCCAGTACGAGCCGGTGATACAACCCGGAAATCAGCCGTACCTGCATCACATGACGCTGTACGAGTGTCGCGGCGATCAGGCGAAATTGGAATCCGCCGTGAATTCGCACGACAGCGTTTTCAATCAGTCGTCTTCTCAGTGCAACACAATCGCCGCCATCTGGAGTCTGGGCTCTGAGGTATGCTACGTGACACATTTAAATGTAAATGAAGAATTAAATAAATGTCAGACCCGAGCGTACTCGACGCGCGGCGCTCGGGAATTCCAAAAAGCTGCTCAAAATGCTAATCTTGATATTTCTAATTTACTTCTGTACGTACCGGACGACTTTCCGGATAAGCAGGATATTCTACGTTCGCGTTAAAATATTGAATGGTTGGCTGGGGAAAATAGAATTAATATTATTTTCAATGTTTTTTAATTAAGTAACCATGGATGATCTACTTCTATCTGTCTTGGATAAATTGGAAACTTGTTTGAGTTTAATATAATTCTTGAAAATTAATAGGCAGTATTCACTGTAGATTAAAAAATTTACAGACTTCGCGCACACGATTAACTGGTCGCGAATCGCAACCTGCTGCACCATACTTAACGATTTCCCGTGTTAGGAGATTTTGGTTGGGATGCATACTTTTTGTGCATAAAGCTCATAGGCTATCGAACACAAGCAGCATGCTGTCCCTGCCAATCTAAATCTAATCTCACTTTACACTTTACACTGTACACTTTACAAGTTCGCAGCCATTAGCTCGATATTACTCGCGACGAAGGCTTGTTCGTCACGAATAATACCGATTACCAGGTCTCAGCACGTGGAGGTTGCTGCGACTAGAGACCCGGAGATAGAAGGAATCAAAGTTCCTTCGATCTCCCTCTACATAGAGTATGCATACATAGATGCATACTGTACATAGAATCGACGAGCTTAATACTAAGTACGACACCGTGGAAATCAAAGAAAACAAAGTCCCTTTGATTTCCAAAGTCTGAGTCTGACTCTGCCAAGTCATTATTTGAATTAAGAGGGTGAATTGAGATCGCGACGCGACGCGACCATGAAACTGGACTTACTGAGTCAGTCCCGTTTCCTCTTGTTGGATCTGGACTCGAGATGAAGAAATAATTGTTATTAATATTTAATAGAACACTGAATGACACTGTATGTCTCACAAATGTTTAATTATGTCGGAGACATTAAGTTTTAATTGTTCCAATTAATAAATAATAAAATATAGAAAAATATCTCAAATTACTTTCTCGAAAAACATTGGTATAATAATCTGAAACTTTAAATTGCATTAAATATGTATATCTACGAAGTAATTGAATATTTACAATGCATATAATAACATTTACTCTTCGATTAAATATTAAAAACAATCACGGGGTAAAGTAAATATTCATCGAACACAGTAATCGTTAATAAAAATCATGGTTCAGATTAAGTAACGGGAACGAAGTATCAAAGTTGACTGATACGGTAGAGAGGACTCTTATTAATCATTTAACACAATTTTGGAAATCGGAGTATGGAATTGAAAAAAACACTTTCGACAGCTTTTTGGGATTTCCGACCTTTGTGCAGCAAATCGAACGAATATCGTGTTTGCGCAGACCCAGCGGAGCATACCATTTTTCGTTACTGGGTCAAATGACATAAAATAATATTTTCCGTCAACTGAATATTCCAAGCGTAATTTCAAATTTATTCAAATAGATATATTAAAATATAAAAATGTAAATGTCTTGCAACTCTGGAATATAATTCTTAAATTGCACTCTTGTCATTTTCATATGGCTTTTTGACTTTATTTAACGAGTAGGGTAAATTGAAAGAAACAGTGGTGTACGAGTAAATCGTAGAATCGTAAATCGAATTCATTTCGGTGTACATAAATAGATTAATGAAACTTTATCGAGTCAACTGAAAGCGTAATCGTTACGAATGGAATTCTCGCATGGGATGAACGTTTCGAGAAAGCAGCCCAATCGTGTCGGTTTTAATCAAACTCGCCACGCGGAAAATGACATTTTTCCGCATATTTTCTATCCAGCCGGGTAGAAATATTTTTGCACGGGCTATTAAATCGTTAATTTTGTTCAAATGTTTCGACTTTTACCTTTGAGCTATATACGGTACCTGGAAATATTATAATTACATTTATTATAATTACATGCAATATACCCATTAGCATTCAGTTATAAGTACATCCAATGTAACCATGATCACGTAAGGAATTTATATATAATTTATTTAAAATTATTAATGAGTAAAAGTATAGAACGAAAGAAGTTTTAGAATATAGTGTAGTATTTTAATTGTCCTATAAGACAAGATATAAAGATTTAAACATCAATCAATGTAAATATTTCTATTTAAAGATGTTAATACTTTTGAGACTCAAAGCTTCGGTTCTCATTTACAATATTTGCCAACATTTTCGATCGATACAACTAAATCGTGTCTTACGTGAATTCATCGACCCTGCATTGCGATCAATCGCATCTTCGCAGGGCGTTCATGTTTCCATGCGACCGCGACGAAACGAGTTTGTGGTACCCTCGCCACGCATTGGTATGCATTACACAAAACCCAGAATTACCGTGATACACCCTGCGCTCACGTGTCTCTTACGCATGTCCCACGATGACGTCAGATTAACATTCGAGGACAGTGATTTATTCTCCTGTAATTACTCGCGTAACTGATTCGAATCTCGACTGTATTCCGAATATGATTTATGCGCGCCCCCCATTACGCGGTGTCTGATTATTGCAGTTTAAACGACCAACGTAAGATAGTATAATCATTGTAATACACATCGCGAACCAACCTTGCCGACGACGATTTTCTCTAATTTCATTTCGCTATTATATGACTCACGCTCGGAATTGTAGGCGGCAGCAATTTAACGTGTTAGCCTTAGGGATCGTTGACTGTCGGAGCAGTTTAATTGGTCGAGTTAGGGCAACGTACGAAAGATTCGAGATTAGCCAGCACTTTTTCTTCAGGAAATTTAATTTGTTGGATAAGCATATAGTACTCAAGGATCAGGTAATTAATTGTAATTATTGAACGCTTTTCAGACAGCGAATCTATTAATATCAATTATATCATTCATGTTTCGAAATGTTTATGTTGCATTAGCGAATATATATTATTAATAGCTTTTTTAATACCACATTAGTAATGATAAAAATCTACAGAGATAAATAGACAATGTTAAAATTTCTTTCACCAATCTTAGATCCTATTAATTTCTTCATTGTATCCGAAGTAATATCTGATTAATATTGAGAACGTTTTCTAGTGAAAAGTTCAAATGTGGAAAGTTTAATCAGGAACATATAGATTCCATAAATAACGAAACGAAACAAAGTTTTGTACTATCGTCGAAAAACTTGCGTGTAATTAATTTTAATTTGCATCACGGTGAGTTGGCACAAGGTCTCATCCAGCTGCCGCCCTGGAACTCGTATACCCGATGCTCTTGATTCGATCATTAGCCTCGTTTCTTGCCCCGTCTTCGAGCTCCCTTATAATCTTTTCCGTGTCTCTTTTTTTTTTCTCAGGGCTTCAATTATCCGCCAGAGGCTGGATACGCGCTGGACCCGCACAGCGGGCCGCGTTACTTCATGCTGGAAACTCACTACACAAATCCGCAAATGGACGTGATGCGTGCCGGGTCCACGAGCGACAGCTCCGGGTTGCGTCTGCACTATACGGACCGGCTGCGTACCCACGACGCCGGAATTCTCAGCATAGGCATCGACCCGAACTGGAGGCATATCATCCCGCCAGGCCAACCCGAAGTGATCTCCGAAGGTCATTGCATCTCGTACTGCACCAAACAGACCATCCCCGACAGCGGCATCAACATATTCGCTGTCATCATGCATACTCATCAACTGGGGAGGAAGGTCCGATTGCGTCAGATAAGATCCAGAGTGGAACTGCCACCCATTGCGTCTGACACCAATTACGATCCTAGCTATCAGGAGTATCGGAAGCTGCAGAAGCCCGTCAGGGTCCATTCGGTGAGTGCCGGCCAGGGGCTTCGTGCCCGTCGTGCCACTGCATTTCGTGGCATGCTAATTCAAAGACCGAATTAGAGAGACCGAGCGACAAGGAATTCATCCGTGCACGTCCATTAGAATAGCCAAGAACTATAACGACACATTTCTCGACCCATCGGGTCCAAACTTATCGCTTTCTTGGTATCGATGATACTCTTTCAGAATACTTTATTCGTCGAGAAACCTTAAATTACATGAAGTCAAATAAATAGAACACAGGAAGTTAGAGGTGTCGCAAGTAGAGTAATACTTAGTAACACTTTGTAGGTTTCTAAAATATTTATTAATCACAGACGTGTTCTTTCTAATTCCAGGAGGATCATTTGATAGCAGAGTGCACATACTCGTCGGAGTCCCGAAAAAGCATCACGCTAGGTGGTCAGACGACGAGGGACGAGACCTGCTTGGTGACCACTCTCTACTATCCACGCATCGAGTTGTCCCTCTGTTACTCTCTACCCTCGTTACTGACCGTTCTGAAGAGTCTAGGAATCCAAAAACTGAAACAGTAAGTATCCATGAACTTTTCCACGGGTTTCTACCTATCGTTTATTTTTCTCTCGCCCGATGCATCGCGTTCGCTGTTTCCAAAACAATCTAGGCCTTTCGAGGACACCGTTTGGTCCCGTTTCGCTTTGATTAGAGTCGAAGGATCGTTTGATATTAATTTACAGGGTACGCTGATACCGCGCTAATGATCACCGCGCGTCTCCATACACAAAGTGACCAGACGTTTGCTCCTTTTACTCTGATTACTTTAAATTGGCAATTAGGGACGGCGATGGCCCGTGCGTCACGACCGCACGACCTGTCGTTAGTTCAACGAGCGCCGGTTATATTGCGCCAGACGCATCGTTCATTGCATTACGTAATGTTACGTGTGTCACGAAGACGCTTCCTGCGACGTGTCACGAACTTTAATGTAACAAGCGTCCTGTTTAGCTAAACACACTCTTCGCTACATTGAATACCGTAGCTAAATTACTGTTATTAGTGCCATTAATATCGGCAGGTCGTTGCCTAGTTGGGTCGTTAACTCCGGCTAGGGATCATAGTCGTCTTTGCGTGACATCGAGAAGAGATACTCGCGTAGAACAAACTTGTTCACTTAGCGGATTGTCGTGCACCGAGATGTACGCTCGCTGCTGCTAATGTACACCTTGCATAAACAATTTCCGAAAATTGGAAAAAATTGGATGGTCCTAGCCACGTACAGACAGTCCCATAAGTATTCGTACTCTCTGTGTCTATCGAAGAAATTGTGTAAATTAACACGTTTCCTCCCCGAACCTTCGATTCAAACCATTTAGGTATTGGATTTATTAAATTAATACCTAGAAAAATTAATTTATTGCTTTGTTGTGTTATGCATGTTAAACTGTACATTCTATCCTTGATAATTACAATTTTGCATTATTATATACATATGTATACTTATAGACTATATAGGAATACTTATTAGACTTACTGTATGCATACATAACCTCGATTTACGAACGCCAACCAGTTTTTCCTAGAATCAGATATTTCCAAATGACAATAGTTATAGACTCAGCCCGTTCCCTGGCTGGCATTCGTTCGTTCTACCAGTGTACCAATGGTGTCCACGAAAATTTTCAGCCAAGAGGCGGATACTCACTCCCCCGTAACAGACACAAAGGCTCCGCGGACAAGCTTTGTTCCCCAAACGAGTTCGCGATGCGGGTCACGGAAAAGGACCTGGTCTCGAAACTCTTGAAATTTCGTCCCCGTTCGGAGGAACGAATAGGTCACGAGCCTCAACCGAGCCCTCACGTCACATTCTCTTTTTCTTCCAGGGGTTCCACGCCAGTGGAGATCGAAGAACCGTCAAACCTGGCGGGTATGACGCTGGAGGATCGTCTGGTGAGCTACAATTGGAACACCAATTTCCAGAGCTTCCAGAAGGTGACTCGCGAGGGTACGTTGAAGCCGCTCTGCTCCACGATCAAGGGACCCCTGCCGGACACGGAGACCAGGGAGGTGCCATCCCCGACGATCCTGACGCCGTACGAGGAGAGCAGCATGCCCTGCTCGAAGAAACCCCTGAGGAACAAGCTGTTCAGCGACGACGAAGACATCGGGGCACCGGTGGATCCTGACGGTGACGAGACCAACGCCGTCGAACGTGGACAATTGGTACGCAGCAAAGTGTCGCGCAGCAGCGACGGTCCAACCGCTGGTAGTTCCTCCGTCAGATCGGTATCCTTGGCACTGATGCTCGCCACGGTGGCGACGGTTGTCGGCGCGGCGTTTAGGTGAACGCTGGCTCGTCGTTTCGACGCCGATCGATCGACGGATCGATCGATTCTGTTTATCTAGGACGGCCGTTTTATCCTCTTGTTGATCGCGCTGGATCGGGGAGGAGGATGCATGTAAGTACGTGCCGGTGTACTTCTCTGACGCGTCACTTAGGCTAAATAACTGTTGTCGTTCGTCGGTCGTTGAGCGAGGACGGGCTCCAGACGTCGTGGACTCGCGTTCGAGTCGATCTCTGCTCGCTACACAGGTCGATACACGGTGGAATTTTTATTACAGTGACGGGATAACTACGGACGCTTGGGAAACCGCGGGCGTATTTTTGACGGCTTCTCGGAATCGTGATCGCGTGGAACGAATGGAATTCGTTGTCACCGCGTAGACAGACTGCCAAATATATTTTTTCCCACGGCGAGCGTTCGTCGAGGATCAGTGATCCTAAACTGTACTCGTTCAACGATCGGTACCTCCCTTTTCGCGATCTCTGCTCGTGCACTATTGTTATGATGTATATCGCGTGCTCGCACAGGACGGTCGTTGGATATCTTTCGGTTCCGAACGCCTGGAGTCGGGTTCCTCATTCTCTTTCCTTTCTAGTTCGGTTTAACTAGCGAAGATCGACGGAGAACTGTACGGAACAATAAGTGTATAAATATAGCTATCGATGTGCTAGCAGGAAAGGATTCGTTGACCTCGTATCGACGCGGTTTAAGGACTCTCGCTTCGCGAGAATTCAATTTCCAGGATTTTCCTCTCGATTCGAAGTACCAGGGAAAATCGCTTGAAATCTGACAAGGAATCGCAATTTCAACGCAACGCAAACAGTATGGAGGCGAATGGTCTCCTAACGCGATTAGATGCGAGGGGAGCTGGAAGAGGTGATACTGGATGGAATTCGGAGTCGGTGATCAGAATTCTTGAGTAAGTTTCTCTCGCTAATCGAGAATTCGTGCGGCATAAACGAATTACACGCAGCAGTCATCTAACGTGATGAACACTCGAAGGAAAAGGCAAACGTGTCCTTTGATTTTATTGTACATTTGTAGGATTGTATAGCACAGGCTTTTAATGCCTGAAAAATCTAGAGATTTCCGAGAATTTGTAGAATATCTTTGATTACAAAAAAAAAAAGGAGTTAATACACTGCAATTTCACACAAAAATTTTTTGGGAAATTGATCGGTGTACGAATGCATTCTACACCTACTGTATATTAAAATCAGAAGTCACATTTTATAGAGACACTATTTACAGCTCGTCGAAGTAGCCACGTCGATACGAGCCAAGAATCGCAAATCGCGGAGCGATGGAGCCGGTTGCTCTAACTCTTTCGTTAATTTTCTTGTGTATACATATCCAACAGACGTGACGTGCATTGTATTGCGCTAAAAGTATGATACGCGAGTCGAACGACGTATGTACGACCATATATACGGGTTCTTTCTTTAATATTAGTTAAGCTTAGCCTTGCGTTCTTCAGCCAGAGAGAAAGAACAGGAAAACACAAGTTTCTAGTCCATTTAGACGAGCCAACGGGTCGCAGTCTCGAACCCGCTCGTCATTTTATAAGATAAAGAACAGCTCGCGTCGGAGCTCTTCGGTGCTTGGCCTCTATTTTAGCAGTTAACGATCTCGAACGAAAGATATCCACGGGACGATGGTGCGGGATCCTGTCGATCGAGTGGAATTATTATATTTTGGAGACTTCGGACTCGCAAGAATTTATATTGTTGACTGTTTATTTTTCGTGTCGGGGACGGGACGAAACATTGGCAGAGTTTCCCTTGCAGCGGAACGAGGTCAGCTTTTTTAAACCCGTGAGACGTATGAGGTTGGGAATAGTACCATTTCCAGAAAATATTGGAACAAACGTTTGTTTACATATACCAGAAATATTCCAATTGATCGTATCATCGATTAATTGTTGATTAAAAACCAAGATTTCCTTTCCAAGCTTGTAGTCTTCTGAGGAATTTCTGACTTGACTTTGCTCGAAATGCCAACGGGTTTCGCTCCCTCCCCGGCGAAGTCTGTATATTCTGTTACTATTAGAGCTACGAATAGATGTGTTTTTAACGGAGACACCATGTAAACGTTGGTTGATTCGCACGGGAAGCTAGGACTAGAACGATACCAAGGACGAGCAAAATTTTACTCGAGTAGGTCGAACAGTTAAACCTTTATTCGTTCGTTCATTTCGTACTATAACTCAAATTTTAATGCCTGTTTTAAGAGCAACGAATAAATGGTTCACGTTTCATTTGTAATTTGAAATCGTCGATCAGGTAAAAATTTCGCCCGTTTCGTTCAGTCGTGACGCTTAACCAACGTTTGCATGTGCGCAAACCGCGGCGGTTCTTTGTAATATTCTGTACAGTTTATTAAGTATAATGTTGTTCGCGTGCCCGCGATTATTTATTTTTTATTTAATTGTATAGTCACTTGCCACGTTGATACTCCCTTTCACTTGCCGCGCATCACGTTCGCGACGAGCAGCGTGGGTTCGGTTTCTTCATGCGTCTCTTGCAGAGGTACGGGGGTACTCGAAGATTTTAGGTTACACTACGTTGGTGTGCTTTGTGTCAAGTATGGACTCGAATCCTGAGAATCTTCTGCTACGATTGATTGAGCGGTTTACTTGTGCTTGATTCCGAGCTGGTTCAGTTCGGGCGAGTTGGATATACAAATTTTTGAATTGCAACTTTTCGTACTGTACGTGTTCAACGATTCAAAATTTCTGATTGTGTACCTTTCATGTTCAATTGTAAAACTCCGCACGTTTTATTGTGAAATTCAGAATGAAAGGGAATTTTGAATCAAGTAGGGTTACGGTATCTTAGGATTCTTTTCGAGAGAAAGGCTAATTACAAACAAGGGAAGAAATAAAATTAGGTGAAATGAATGCTCGTCACACGTTTCCTCTTATTCGTCGCTGCTTTTTCGTACTGTCTTATTTTGGCTTGCGCGACTACATGGACACTCGCGTGTACGTTTCGTTAATTAAAAACTTTTAACCACGGTGCGATTCTCGTATTTTTTGTATTATTATAACACATTAGAACTACAATGTATAAAACAAGACCGTTTCTCATTCTTCGAGAAGATTTTTACTCTGGCTCGTGTTATTTTCAGTAATAAAAGCTGATCATGCATTACTAGTGCAGCAGCATTACAAGTTACATTGACAAGACATTGCAAGTTATCGTTTCTTTATATACAGTTCCAAACATAATACAATTGTTTAAATTCATAACCATACAAATTTCCTCAAAATTTATATGATCGTTTTTAATGGAGATTTAATGGAGATCCAAAAATTTGTGTATTCCTATTCGAAGAAAACAAATCAGTTTTCGATGGAAATTTGGGGTTTTGGCACATCCCTGGTCTTTAGCCACCGGGGACACTTGTCGCTGCGACGTTCCTCGAACACCACAATTCAATCGATCCCCACTCGATCGATTCCATCTACGAATGACACATACTTTCGTTTCTTGAACGTTTCAAAGGGGTGATGTTCGACAGAGAACACGATTTTTAATGAACAAAAAATTAATATCGATCGACTTTGTTGAATATTTGTGGCAAACTGATTAAACATATTTCAGATCCTGATGATATGAAAATTTCCTTCGAATTGACTTCGCGATTCGCCAATCAACGATTTGGCGATGATAAAATATCGAAAGGTACTTTCGACTTTTGAATACAGCGTGATTCGTGCTCAATTGCTTCTTTCGCCCTTCGATTGAATTGAATTCTACTCTCAAGCCTCTGTGCATACGATTCAATCCAATTTGAGTCTCGACTGCGTTAACTTACTCGCGTTCTACGCTTCCCAAAACACCACTCTGAGTACTTAGGAAAAAAAAAGAAAAGAAAATCGAGAAAAGAGAGCTCTGTCTTTCCCTCTTGCTCCGTAGAAATAAAAAGGGAAGAAATGACATGCATGATGGCGTGCAACGAGAGAGGACTTACGCCGGAATACCGCGATCGATAAGCGGCACGTTGTAGTCAAGAGTCCCCTAACGCGCGCACTTTTCCTTGAATTCTATTAGCATCGAGAAAAACGCCAGGACATTCTGCGTTGACAAAGGCAAACGAGAAATCGCGGGGCGGGGACGACACCTCGAATCGAGTGCTCCCGCTGTCGAAAAATTTCACGGGGTTATTCACGTTTTGATTCGCCTATGATTTGGTCTGTCGGTCGTCAATTAAATCCAGCCAATTCGCAAATCGCGAATTCACTTTTCATGTTAGACCGGCCCCACGGAACTTAACGACGACCGACTGTCGATGATAAAGCTCTCTCCCTAGCGTAGAATTAATGAAAAAAAAAAAGAAGGATAACAAACCTCACGTAGTCGACTAATCGGTAATGATAAACCCGTAGCCACGTTTTACAATTTAATACTACGGTACTCGTAAGTGTCATAGGGGATCTGTATGTGTAGAGACCGTAGGGCAATCGAGCGACTTATCTTGCCTCGAGGAAAACGCTTTAGGCGCTAAAAAGGTCCGTTCCTCTCGACCGTCATCGTCGTCATTCATCATCGTGCATCGTCGAATCGAAATTAACTGCCAATCGTCGCTTCGCTAATGTCACCGTACCCCGATCCGAAATTGTTTCTGTTCCGGTTGTTCCGTTATTCGAGGCGAATGGTATCATCGAATCAGTGTCGGAGGTGGGCAAAATTTTCTTTAATCGATGCATCACGATCCATTCACGAGTTTGAACAGTGACACATTGACTCGTCCTCTGCAAAATACAGTAAATCTCCTCGAGTTGCAGAACGATCTGGGTCGATGATGCAACTAAAGGAGACTTACTATACTCTATTCTGTAGATCATGGTGAAGTACTAATTCTTTAAACGCTCCGAAACCCACGATATCCTAGAATCCTTTAAAAATCGCCTGAGGGTACAGCACAAGGATTTTGCCCCATCTTCGACCAGCATACACACAGAGACAGACGCAAACGAGCCGTTCACTGTAGAAATCGATTAACTCCACTTTTTGAAAAATCTTTAAGTGTCGAAACACTTAGTATAGTCAACTTTTTATATGTATAATAATTGTTCTGAATAATAAAGATTAACGCCATTAAACGACAAAATTGTTTTGGCCATTGAATAATAAGTAATTTATTTCAGAGGCCATTTTGATCGCATTTCCCAACTTTTTGTTTTATGGAGTTAATCGTTTTGCGCAATGAACGGTTCGAATATTCCCATACTCGCGATATAGAAGAAACAGAGAAATTGCTGATCATCGTCGACGATCATTGACACGCTGTTATACGGAAACGACGAGGTGATCGACCGAGGGTTCGAGGAGAGGAAAAGAATACCAGAGGAACGCTTTGAGAAATGCTCGAACGAGAGAACCGCTGCTGCTTTCTTTCCCTCGAATATTCTTCGCTGCGTGTACGATACTGTACGATCCGCCATAGGGATAAGCGATGATTTATCATCGTCGAAGGAACTCGTTATAATCGGTCGTGCGAGAGGGGGGCAAGGACGAAGTCCGTTCCGTGACTTCTTCCGCGCCCGCGATGTCGACGCTGATTTCGTTCCTGACGCTGTTGTCACGACGTCGCTAGAGGGACGAAGGGGTAGAGGGGTTGATGGTGATGTGTGGGTGGGTGATAGGAACTGCCGGTGATATGACCAGAACAATCAAGCAAAAAGTGTCACAAGTAAATGTCATTTATGCTGGAGTAATTACGTTAGGTGCATAGGGAACGATATTACGCAATTTATACTAAAATGATCATGCATCGTGTGTGTATGTACGTTAGCTGGTTCGTTTTCACGCCGAGACTCCTGGCGCCCATCGAGCTTTCGACCACGTGGGGATTGAACGGAGCCGATGTTCGCGACATTATGCATTCCCTGAGACACGTTACATCACGATTTTTTACTGATTATTCGTCACGAAACTCATTGTACAAAATATACACGAGTAAAGAGTTCGATGATTGAGCAAAGAGAGCAATAGCCTAAGGAAAGAGAGAAAACTAACGTTGCGCTAGATCGGTGCTTCCCGACAGGTGTAACGCGACGTACTCGATGTACAGTGTGCAATTAATCGATGGGAGGATGTTTGCGAAAGAGTTTCCGTCACTTTTACGTAATATGCCGCAATTGAGCAGATCTTTGAAAATTTAAAATCTGGAATTTTGAGTAGCTACTTGAGTAGTAACTTTAGTGAACGTATCAAAGTAGAACTGCAATCGATTTAACTGAAATGTTCTTTTTAAAGAGGTATGACGCAAAGTAGGATTTGCTAAAATAGCCTTACAGAATGCTATAATGAAGTTTGTTCTTTCTAATCAAATAAAACACATCTTTTGAATAGAAGGTGCTCCAGAAGATAATCGCAAGTAACTCGATGAAACTTATTTATTTTATTGAATTATGAAAGTATCCTTAGACTGGTAGATTGCAAGCTTCACAGAGAATGGTACATTCATTTTGAACGTAAACATCTGTTTACAACTTTAATATAGCACGAACTGTGCGCCGTGTAAATTTAAGCTTCTCCTAAATAGAAAAGGTTGGGAAGCACTGCTGGATGACACCGTCAACCGCGAAAGGTTTCGAGATCGATTTCTCGGTCCGATTGGAGCCGAAATACACTTGATTACCACGAGCGGATTCAACGACACGCGTGTGTGCCCATTAGAGGCGACGGGTACGGTAAATATCGAGGATCCGTTTGAAATAACAGCGACTGGAGGGATGCGTTTAACGGAAACACGGCGGGGCCAGGAAATCGGGTATGTGTACGTACTGTATGTAGAAAAGATTAGAGAACGTCGAGAACGGTACCCCGTGGTCCATTAGCGATGTGGTTCGCGGAGCACCGACGCAAGCGGGGAAAAAAAAATGCGAGTGGATAAAGGAATCGAGCGTAATAGCGTGTGCGTGTACATAGGTACCCTGTATATAGGTTTTAGATTTAAATTACGTCCCGGACTCTTTATAGGCACCTACACTCGGAATTCAGGTAGCTCGCTAAATAGTATCTTGTATCTTTATAATTTACGTGTAACCGTGTTTAAAACGAAAAAAAAAGAAATGAAAACTGTAGCGACGTGCACGCGCGCGAATTCACTAGTGTAAACACGCGCGTCCACGCGACCTACGCATACCGGGCGCCCTGTCCTTCCATACCGCTCTTAGATTTATACCTAATTTACACTGGATATTAACGTCTAAACGCTACACTATCATCTACACTGTAACAAATTGTATTATATTTTATATATATAAATATGTAAATGTTTTTCTAAATTCGAGTCTCCCTTTATTTCTTACCTGTATCTTCTACTGCTTTCCTTACCTATGGTAAATAAAACGACTGGATTAAATACAGTACATTGAAAGATACGGACAAATAGATGAACTAGTAGCATGTAACACCAGAAAGGTCACAATAATCCTGAATGACTTTTTACGCTAAATATAGACTTCAGAGAATTTGGATCATCGCGCTGATAAAATGGAGCATCCAAAGGTAAGTGCAGTTCCTTGTTCCTTGTTGCGCTGTATTACTTCAGTCTCAAACTATACGTAGCCGACTACGTTGGAGTATAAACGTTCGAGGAATAACTTTACCTTCTAATTTAATTTGATTAAACATAAATATGACTTCTGTTACCAGGCATTATCTGAACGTGCGATGTTCGATGTTATTTATGAGTTATTTATTTTCAACGTTGCGAAAGTTTCTGAAAATAAATGGTTTGAACGCTATATAGTCCACGGGCATTGAATTGATTATAAGACAACATAGACGATAAAAATTTAACGTGTTCGCTGTGGAGAATATTTTAGTCGTAACAATCCTGTTACTCCAAATAGATATTGATATATTTATTTTAGTGTATGCAAGTTTAGAGAGGGAATGAACTCTCTTTACTGTCGCCTTTTCAGTTTCCCACGCCGCTGTCGTATGCATGACGAGACAATCAACGTTGGAAAGAATGCTATAAGACGACGATCTCGCCATCCTCTTGGACTGGCGTGCAGAAAGTAGGCGTTATCCAGCCATCCTGATTGATAAATCACCATTTTCCACTTTCCAGGAAACGGGAAACACCGGCGGGCATTATAACCGAGAAGTTATTCCACGTCAAATCGGTCACTTCTCGAA